CTCTCTCTCTCTCTCTCTCGTGCGCGCCGCGCGCTCTCTGTCTCTCTCAAACGGGTAGCAGCGGCGGGCACCCGTCGAAACGGCCGCTTTGAACTTGCTCGGGCCTGTGCGAAACCCGCCACCTCAAAAACCTGCAGTGTCTTGTGCTTGGACCTCTAGGCCATGTCCGGTGGGGTGAAAGGACACTTACAAATCACCCCGTTATTTTTCGAGGGGCGACTAGGACCCGATAAACGTCCTGGGCCGCCCCCTTTTTTTTTTTTTTGATTTTTGCCCCAGGGGCCTCCATCCGGACATGGGGACCGGACACCGGACACCGGACACCGGACACCAGACACCGGACTGTCTGGAACCCGGTCTGGACGTCCGGACGGTTACCATGGTTTTTTTTTCGTCTTTTTTTTTGGTTTTTGAAAAATGAAACAAAGCCCGCTACCGGTAGCTCTAGGCTCGGCAGGGCTCAGCTTACCGGTGGCGGGAGGCTCGGACTGATAGCTGAGCGAGGTACTGGTGGTTTAAACCACGAGTTCACCCGAGCCTGAGGGCCTGCCCGGCCTGAAACGTCACTCCTACTGGGTCACTCCAACTTCGATCAAAAAATGCATCCGGTTAGGTGTGGATGCTTTTTCATGGGCCAAAGCATTTTTCTTTGGAATTTCTTGTCACAGGAAATTAGAATTAAAAACCGCTCAAGTCGTGGTAATTTGAATTTTGCACACGTGCAAACCGCCCAAGTTGTGGTAATCGGAATTTTGCACACGTGCAGATACCCCCCCCTTTGGGGGGTCAGGTGGCCCGAAGCGGCAGGGTCGTTCTGTGTCCAACGGGAAGACATCAACTTGGGCGCAGCTGAACTGGTGGTTCCACGAGTAAAAAGTTAAAATGGCCTTTCTGTGGCCTCTGCAGGGACTGTCGTCTTTGTTGCCAAGGCAGCCGAGCAGCTTTTTCAGTGATTTAACGCCTGATGGGAATTCACAGTTTCCAGCCTTGTCCTATATAAAAAGGTTTTTGATCCTTCAATGTCGGCTCTTCGATCCTTCGATGTCCGCATTCATAGGCCGAAGATTGAATCTGTTTTGAGTTCCCAGATCCATCCTCAGGATTCTCCGACAGATGCGAACATGCTTCTCGTCTTGCTCGACCTTATAATACCAAGAACGAATTGACGTACTGGCTGGCAACGGTTTGTCAGAATGTGGCACCCAGCCTCATAATCTCTCTGACTACGACCCTATACGCCGGGGCGCGAAACCCAATCGCTACAGTACACGAAAAAGACTCAAACATGTGGTTGGACTGCACCCGACACTCCGTTTGCCTAAGTTTGAAATCCCCTGAGAAGGTATACTGTACTACTAGAGGACATCAGACTCTGAGGACAGAATCTGGAATGCAAGCCACAACCTTTACAGCAACACAAGCGAACATGAATGGAAACAGTTCTACAACGAACATGAACTCAAGGCAGTTTATACTAGACGGGGCCTGTGTTTTTTTCAAAACAAAACAAAACAAAACAAGAAGAAAACAGTTTCTACTATAGTTATGTAAGAGTCGAAGGTCTGCAGATGTGGCCACAAATCTGTTGTCCAATGTCCATGTCATTTTCTCTGCTGTTTGTTCAGCCATCCTGACCATGTCGGGGGCACTTTCCAGCGATGGCCTTTTGTTCATCCATTCATCCTCTCCCCTCCCCCCTTTTTTTTTTTAATAACATAAGATTCCATTCGCAATGGAAACAGTTCTACAACGAACATGAACGCAAGACAGTTTCTACTAGACGGGGCCTGTGTTTTTTTCAAAACAAAAAAAAACAAAAAAAAAAACAGTTTCTACTATAGTTATGTAAGAGTCGAAGGTCTGCAGACGTGGCCACAAATCTGTTGTCCAATGTCCATGTCATTTTCTCTGATGTTGTTCAGACGTCCTGACCATGTCGGGGCCACTTTCCAGCGATGGCCTTTTGTTAATCCATTCATCCTCCCCCCTCCCCCCTTTTTTTTAATAACATAAGATTCCATTCACCCCCGTCTCCCTCAGGGTCAACATTGAGTTTGAGGCATGAAACAAACGATGCGTTCGTGGATGCAGCAGCGCATCGCCCTCAAATTGATGGCTCTTCACGAGCGCCCCTACAACGCGCATTATCTTCCACAGCCCAAACCACTTCAGCAGGAGGTTCTCTTTGACACTCCTCCACTCAAGAACTCGTCACTACGGTAGTTGCCCACACGAGCGCTCCTTCTCTGGATGGCAATGTCGGCGATGTTTATTTATTCGATGTTACAATCTTGGAACCCTCTAGCTTTCTGCTTGTCTGTGGTTGCCTTCTGTTCATCAGCAAATTTTATCCTGAACGCCAGAGTGACTTCTGCTGCAGGTTGGGAACCAAGAAGTGCATTGGCATCGGTGGTCCCCACCCAAGCTGCAACTTATTTGGTGCTCTCAATGTAGCCGGATGAGCTGACTCATCAAACATGTTCTCCCAGTAAATCTTGTCCAGACCTGCTAACATCCACTCGGTCGGCCCATCACTTTGTGTGGTTGGTTGAGCTCATGCTCAACTCTGACTTCCCTCGTATTAC